AGTTCTGTGGTTTGTTTACAATCTTGTTCTGAATGAGATATTACTGCAATAGTTATTATAAGCTAAAATCAAGCATATCCTCGCTTGAGGATAACTCAATTAAAATATAAGGCAATCAGAAGAAATTAATCATACAGCCTCCAGCACTCCCAAAAAGATTTTTTTTATCTTAAAAGTAAAATGTTAATTATAATGCAGCATTTAGATTTTTTAATGTTTCATTTTTGTGCATATGCTTATCGCTCTTGAAAAATTACTGTATCTTACCTTACGTTCCATACACTCACTTTTGCAGCAGTGAAGAAAATTATTTTTGGCATCATCTTCAAAGTTGGATATGAGGGCAAGATGCTAAGAAGATGAAGCTAAAGACATAATATGCAGATCAAGCTCTAGGTGCAGCAATACCTCGCTTTACATAAAGCTTTATCATATTTTGAGATTCATAAAGCTCCACACACACACTGTCAAGCACTGTCGCAAGAGAAACCTGCTCTGCCTGTACTGCGCTCAGGTATTGCTTCGGTTATTCTCGAGTATAGATTTGGTATTAGGATTATATGCTAGGTTATACTCGAGTATATAGTATATGTTGGGCCATACTTGAGTATGTCAGGTTATACTTGGGTATAGGTCAGGATACACTTGAGAATACTCCGAGTTATAATCGAGCATAGGTTAGTTATACATGTACGTATGTACTTAGGAATAAGATGAGTTTCACTCAAGTATATGACAGGCTAACTCAAGTATCGGTCAAGTTATACTTATGTATAGGTAGGATTATACTAGAGTATAGGTAGGATTATACCTGGGTATACATATACAGCATGTCTTTTATTCCATCTTTAAAGTTCCTGTCTTGCTAATAAATTATACAAGGTGGGTCGTAATGGCAGATACAAAAATATTTTGTTATGTGATACAGTTAAAGACTATACAAAAAACTAATTTTTCTTCTCACCAAAACTAATACAAGTTTGTTTCCAACAAAAGGTATTCCTCTAATACACGACTGAGATGAACACTGAAAGGTCTAATTAACCCTTAAACGGTCCAAACATATACACTGGACCCCGCATAACGATCAGCTCCCAACTCGACCAATTATTTAAGTGTATTTTTGTAAGTGCTTTTGTAGGTGTATTTTTGGGGGTCTGAAACGGACTAATCTAATTCACAATATTTCTTACGGGAACAAATTCGGTCTATAACGGCACCCAAACAGACTTCTGGATTGAAATAATATCGTTATGCGGGGATCCACTGTATATACGTTTTTTCAACTTCTGAATGTATGTAAAAAAATGTAGATCTTCTTTTTTGTTTTACATTTGAAAATGTGTAAAAAAACTTTTATTTTATTATTTTATTATCACACTGGCCGATTCCCACCAAGGCAGGGTGGCCCGAAAAAGAAAAACTTTCACCATCATTCACTCCATCACTGTCTTGCCAGAAGGGTGCTTTACACTACAGTTTTTAAACTGCAACATTAACACCCCTCCTTCAGAGTGCAGGCACTGTACTTCCCATCTCCAGGACTCAAGTCCGGCCTGCCGGTTTCCCTGAATCCCTTCATAAATGTTACTTTGCTCACACTCCAACAGCACGTCAAATATTAAAAAAAACTTTTATCTACATTATTTTTTTTTGTTATATTTGAAAATATGTAAAAAAAGAGTAGATCTACTTTTGTAGCACTACGAATTTGAACGTCGATCTGTTTGGACCGTTTAAGGGTTAATTTAACCTACACCTGATTTCAGCATCCGAACCCACATAACTGGGCTGTCTGATTCAAATTAATATTTTTATTTCTTTATATGCTGTACAAAGGTACATAATGTAGTTTACATGAAATAAAACATTGTTAGGCACAAAAGAAAGTCACTAGTATGCAAATGCATTTTGGGAGGTGTCATGGGAAAACAAGCTCCTCCCCCCAAAAAATTTATCAGCCCCCCCCCCCAAAAAAAATCCATCAGCTTCCCTCCCTCAAAATTCCACGTCCCCCCAAAATCCACCAGTACCCCCCCCCCCCCATAAAAAAATTCCATCAGCCCCCCAAAAATACATTAGTACCCCTATAAAAAATTCCATAAGCCCCCTCCCTCCCAAAAAATTTTATCACCCCCTTAGCCTCCCAAATAAAAACAGCAATAACAACTCTACTTCAAGACAAGTACCCAACCAGACTGGAACTCTGGAGTCCTATATGAAACTTCTGGAGCCAACCCTGCTGCTTCAATAGTTACATGTGCAAATTTTCAAATATACTAATATCTAGGATTGTCGAAGAATATTTTTTTTTATTGACACTTCGGCCGTTTCCCATATATTGCATACTATAAAAATAATCACTAAACTCTTATAATTACATTATCTCAGTTTATACTAACAAACATTTCTACAATAATTTTATTTTGGTAGTAATTTCGGTAATTACATTAATAGGTATAAGTTTTTATGTTAGCTACTTGGAAAACAAATTATAATCATAACTAAATGCTAAACCCACAAGGGTCATACTATATAATTAGGATGACTGACATATATGAACTACTTTATTGGAAGCCCCTTATTTTGCATCTATTATTATTTATTTTCATGGGAAAAGGCCAAAATTGTAGGGTCATACACCACCTGTAGAACAGAAAGTAATCAGATCTGATCCAAGGTAAAGGAAGATAGCTCCAGTTCTTTGGATCAAGAGCCATTCACATGCATCAAAGCACTCCCTCTTGAAGGGAACAATGCATCTAGTATACCGACTTAGTATCACAGTAATGTCTAACACAAAACGGTAACGCACAACAAATACAAAACAAAACAGTGCAGGTAACAACTACAAATTACACTGTCCTAAAGACACAATGAAGAAGACGCTTTCACTGGGGCAACATTTCTCTGTATATAACTTTTACTGTCCCAATAAAAGCTTATTGTGCAACATGTATTGGTGCAGTAATATGCCATTTAGATCACACAAATTATATCACACATCTTGGTAAATGAAGTTTCATATAGGTAACTCAGAAGGACAAACTGCAAAGCACAAGTGATCTTATATCTGATTTCTCTGATTTGTTACAATACATCATAGCTAAGGAAATATAAACACAAATGCAGTATAATGTGATCCTTTATTGACTACGTTTCGCCCACACAGTGGGCTTTTTCAAGTCACAAACAGAACTGTTTGTGACTTGAAAAAGCCCACTGTGTGGGCGAAACGTAGTCAATAAAGGATCACATTATACTGCATTTGTGTTTATATTTCCATTGTGTCGGTATTTTATACCATTTATTCACATCATAGCTAAGTAGAGGCTTAAAAAATTCCTTGCTATCCAGAAGACACAGGCAAATCTTTTCCCCAAAAATCAGCAATGCGACCCAAGAAAGTAAGCATCACAACGTCAATACTGTACATTATAACAAAGTTGTACATAACAGAGATAGCATAGCACTGTATAATTGTATTTTAGATGACTCAATATTTATTCCATTTTTAAAACTTAAGTCAAAATTATTATGTGAAAAGTTTGTAAAATATATAACATAAATAACAAGTAACTGGTGGTACAGCTTTCTCAAATGATAGTAATATGAATGAAATTTTTTTTACTGTTTCCAGTGAAAATTTTAAGGGTACATTATATGTCTTCTGGACTACTGTTCCCTGCACTCAATTATTATTATTATTATTTTCTTGGTAAGGGCTAAACCTGTGTGGGTCATTCACAACAAGATGTACTGGAGTCAATACTTCATCTGCTAATTGCGAACAGATGCACTACCACTCAAAATATATTAAATTATCTAACTCCCTGCAATGAAACTGGACAAAATGAGATGGAGCCACCAGCTCTAAGCCCCAGGTACCAGCTCTAAGCCCCAGGTACCAGCTCTGAGCCCCAGGTACCAGCTCTAAGCCCCAGGTACCAGCTCTGAGCCCCAGGCACTAGCTCTAAGCCCCAGGTACCAGCTCTGAGCCCCGGGCACTAGCTCTAAGCCCCAGGTACCAGCTCTGAGCCCCGGGCACTAGCTCTAATGCCCCATGTATCCAGCTCTGAGCCGGGCACTAGCTCTTAAGCCCCAGGTACCACTTGAGCCCCAGGTCCTGCTCTGAGCCCAGGTACCGCTCTGAGCCCAGCACTAGCTCTAAGCCGTACTAGCGAAGGGCACAACCTTAGGCATCACAACCAGTTACTGAGAGTCAAACTTCTCTAATGCAGAACAAGCCTACTACTCAAACTATTAAATACTCTAAGCTCCCGATGAAACTGGTAAATGAGTGACCACGCTCTAAGCCCCAGGTACCAGCTCTAAGCCCCAGGTACCAGCTCTGAGCCCCAGGCACTAGCTCTAAGCCCCAGGTACCAGCTCTGAGCCCCGGGCACTAGCTCTAAGCCCCAGGTACCAGCTCTGAGCCCCGGGCACTAGCTCTAAGCCCCAGGTACCAGCTCTGAGCCCCAGGTACCAGCTCTGAGCCCCGGGCACTAGCTCTAAGCCTAGGGAACCAGCTCTAGCCCCAGGTACCAGCTCTGAGCCCCGGGCACTAGCTCTAAGCCTAGGGAACCAGTTCTGAGCCCCAGGTACCAGCTCTAAGCCCCAGGTAACAGCTCTAAGCCCTGGGGACTAGCTCTAAGCCCTGGGTACCAGCTCTAAGCCCCAGGTACCAGTTCTAAGCCCCAGGTAGCAGCTCTAAGCCCCAGGTACCAGCTCTGAAGCCACACTAGGTCCCCTCTCTTTCACCTTAATTTCTCTTAAATACTGAGAGTTAATTCTCTTTACCACGAATTACTTGCCATTATTTTCTCATTTAATAAAGCTTTGATAACTATTTTGACTTTAAATGCAGGCAGATATTTAAATTACTGAGATGATTATATATTTACATAATAATGAGAAGCAAGAATTAAATACATTAATGTGCATTAAATCAGCAATTAATAAGAAGAGAAGCTAGAATAAAAAAAATAAATAGTAGTCACCTCTGTAAAGAAGAGTTTGGTGGCATTCAAGACGTGTTTTAGTTCAGTCAGTTCAAGTGAATTCTTCTTCAGAGTTACAGCATTGGCATTGACTTCCCTCAGCTCGTTTTCTAACTTCTCAAATGTGGCCTGTCATATGTAATTATTTGGTATTAGTATAGAGATAACTTGAAGTTACATATGAAAGTGGTCTCCAGAAGAGAATCAGAAGTAAACAGACCAACTGGAAGCTTTGAAAAAAGTATGGAAATTAGGCAGCTCTCACATGAACCCAACTTTTTAATTAATACAGCCTCTTCTTACTTAATGACGGGGTTCCATCCCTAAGAGTAGGTCAGTAAGTGAACTGGTCGTTAAGTAAGGAGTATACTACGTATACTGGTAGTGGATTTGTGTCAGCCATCTTTAGATATTTTTTTAATGTCATCTTTGCACCATATATAACATTTCTGGTATATTTTTAAACATTTATACAGTAGTTTACTGTACATGTATACTGTAATAAACATAATAGAAGAAATCAGCTCTTATATACATTATTTAGTTTTGCATACTGGCTGGAGAGCTGGTCATAAGTCCGAGTGGTCGTTAAATGAGTACGTCGCTAAGTGAGGAGAGGCTTGTACATGTATATCTGTTAATGGTTCTGGGAATTGTTGCAATCACAACTCAGTCTTGAACTAGGCCTCTTGAAATGAAAAGGAAATTTTATGGAATAAAAAATTAATTAATGTACAGATATTAAAAAATAAATGTATACTGAATGCAAACAGAAGTGTCTCATATAAGCAGTGAGAAAGAAATCCTGACTGCTGACCTGGTACACAAGTCTTTGATCATAAAGTACACCACAACAAACAGAAATAGTATTTTGAAAAGGGTATAAAATACAGTGGACCCCCAGTTAACGATATTTTTTCACTCCAGAAGTATGTTCAGGTGCCAGTACTGACCGAATTTGTTCCCATAAGGAATATTGTGAAGTAGATTAGTCCATTTCAGACCCCCAAACATACACATACAAACACACTTACATAAATACACTTACATAATTGGTCGCATTCGAAGGTGATCGTTATGCGGGGGTCCACTGTACCAACAAGTTGATTAAAACACATGTGCAACAGTTGGGTGTCTTTATTGTTGAAATATTTCATCTATATGGTAGGCTTCATCAGTCAAATAAAATGGAGATGTATTGTAGACAGCAGGAACTCTTCTCCAGGCTGAGGGACTGACCACTTCAAACTATTCCTCCAAGACTGATGGACTTATTACATCATCTTTACCTCACCACTACTGCTGTCTACAGAACATGTTCTTCTGTATTTGACTGAAGAAGCATACTGCATAGACGAAACATTTCAACAACAGACATATTCAACTGTTGCACAGGTGTCTTAATCATTAATACTACACACATATCATGTATGCTGAACATTACTTGAAAGATGAATGAGATACTTGTTCAGCTCTTGGGTGTCTGTATTTATCTCATTCCACAATAAAAATACTCAAGACTTGCACAAGTCTCTCAATCATCTACTTGACGATTTTCTGAATCATTTATATAATTGCTGGAAAAAAGAGTGAGTGGTGCACTCAGGAGTCTGTGGAGACAAAGAACTTTGTCCTTGGAGGCAAAGAGGGGAATGTATGAGAGTATAGTTTTACCAACGCTCTTATATGGGTGTGAAGCGTGGGTGATGAATGTTGCAGCGAGGAGAAGGCTGGAGGCAGTGGAGATGTCATGTTGAGGGCAATGTGTGGTGTGAATATAATGCAGAGAATTCGTAATTTGGAAGTTTAGGAGGAGGTGCGGGATTACCAAAACTGTTGTCCAGAGGGCTGAGGAAGGTTGTGAGTGGTTTGGACATGTAGAGAGAATGGAGCAAAATCAGAATACTTCCAAGAGTGTATCGTCTGTAGTGGAAGGAAGGCGGGGTAATGGGTCGGCCTAGGAATAGGTTTTGAGGGAGGGGGTAAAGGAGGTTTTGTGTGCGAGGGCTTGGACTTCCAGCAGCATGCATGAGCGTGTTTGATAGGAGTGAATGAGACAAAATGGTTTTTAATACTTGAAAGCTGTTGGAGTTGAGCAAAGTAACATTTATTGAAGGGTTTCAGGGAAACCGCAGGCCGGACTTGAGTCCTGGAGATGGGAAGTACAGTGCCTGCACTCTGAAGGCAGGGGTGTTAAAGTTGCAGTTAAAAATGTAGTGTAAAGCACCCTTCTGCAAGACAGTGATGAATGATGGTGAAAAGTTTTTCATTTTTCGGCCACCCTGCCTTGGTGGGAATCGGCCAGTGTGACAAAAAAAAAAAAAAAAAAAAAAAATTGCTGGAAAGAGATGAAGTGATACTCTTTGAGGAGCTATAGTGTCTGTAAAAAATATAAAGTTTAATGTCTTGAAAACTTTCATTATTATTAAATAGGCACACATTTCAATTTTAATAGAAGTTTTGTATAACTTGAGCCATTCATCCACATTATCTAAATCTTCCACACTTCAAAGGATGGATGGGGAGGTGCTGTGCTGTTTAGGCTTAAGTAGGGAGAACAGAGACAATAGGTCTATAGCCTACCTCCTTAACTTAAATCTTATGGTTACAAGTCAGTCTAACATTGAACAGCCTCATTATACTTCAAGGATACTCTGAAGAATACTAAACTGAAGATTTCTTACCTCTAAATCAACCATCTCCCGTGGCTGAGGCGCCTCAGGGTTTTCTCCAGTATCCACAATGTGAACATTATCCTTCAGCATTTCTTTTTCCAAGTACCGAAGCTGTCTTTCCATTTCATCGCAGCGGCGTACTTCGTGTACGAATTTGCGTTGAAAGGCATTAACATCTGGGTTAAGCTGTAAATGAATACATGGTATTATGAACTTGACTTTGTAAAAATACGTATTACCATATATTCTCCATTCATTTTTCAAGCTTTTTACGACAGATTAATATAGACAGTTTACTACAGTACTGACTGGTATGTGGATTATTATATTCATGGGGAAGCACTAAAACAGTAGAGGGTACAAAATGTGGAGGTATTCCTTTATTAATCATACATAAAATAGAGTAATAAATAAAAGTGTAATATGCACAAGTTTTATGCAACACACTCTAGTGACTCTACTGAAAATTAGTTGCTCAACTAATTCTCAGAAAACATACAAGCTTATTTCAATATGATACATTGTTTATACAGAAATAGGCAACAGTTGAGAGCATGTTGTAGGACCTTGGTTATGAAGAGCATTTCAGAATATTAATATTATTAAAATCATGGGGGAGCAATAAACCCATAGGATTATACAGCACGTGGGGCGAGGGGGATGGGAGGTATTCAGGGTCAATTCAGGGAACTGGAGCACAGTTCCAATTCCCTAGATTAAGAGCCCCTCACCAGCATCAAGGAACTTCCCTTGAGGGGAGACCATTTCGGATATACACCTTACTGTACTTTATAGCATCCAGTCCTACCTCACTCATCACCAACACACTTTTCAACCTTGTTCTTACCTGCTGTGATAACATTCATGTTTTGTGTTCCTCTATATGATATGAACAAACTCACACTTGAGGACCTCAAAGGAAATAAGTTACTCTGACTTTTTTTGGAGTTATCCTAGGTAATTTACACTATGCATGTGTACCTGTGCCTAAATAAACTTACTAATAAAGGTTTGTGATACCAAGGGTCTTTGTATGAATGAGAATACAGTAAAAAACAAAAAGGCACAATACATGATCAGAATAATACACAAATACGTAACCAAGTCGGATCGAAATGTCGTCATCATCACCTATATGCAGGTTATTTCTGTAAAGAATACAATAAATTCCAACTCTGAACAAAAGAAGTAGCACTTTTTTTTTTGGGGGGGGGGGGGGAGCAGTGAAGAAGTTGCACCAATAACAACTTACATCTCTGAACTGCACCAGACCTATCTCTCCAAGTTCTGACACACAGTTGTATGCTGCTTCACTGGAGAGGAAGAGCTGACACAGGGACATCTCTTCACTACGGAAGATTGACCCCATGTTGGCTCCTGTGTATCTTCACCTGTACAGAGGTGCAAATATATGGTGTTAGTGCATTACATACTGGACTTAACATACCACACTTACAAATGACCTAAAAACTAACATACCCATACCCATTTTGTGGGTGATATTCAAAATATTACAGAGGTACATAATGGGTCCAGGGACTGGGCCACAAATTTTTTGATAGGTGAACAGTGCTAATGAACTATTTACATGTCTGTATGACTAAAAGGTGTACAATATATGGCAAGCTTCAAACTGACATGAAAAAGATATATATGCTTGCTACTGCAAATGTTTTGTAATATGGTAAGCTGTATTTAGATATTAATAAAAGTAGGACTCAGACAAGGATGTGTGTGATGTCACTATGGCTGTTCAATATATTTATAGATGGGGTTGTAAGAGAAGTGAATGCTTGGGTGTTGGCAAGAGGTGATAACACTTTGCTCTTGGGTGATTCTGAAGAGAAGTTGCAGAGGTTGGCGAGTGAGTTTGGAAGAGTATGTAGGAGAAGGATATTAAAAGTGAACATAGGAAAGAGCAAAGTGATGAGGATAACAAAAAATTTAGGTAGTGAAAGATTGGATATTAGATTGGAGGGAGTATGGAGCAGATGAATGTGCAGTATTCAGATATTTTGGAGTGGACATGTTAGCAGATGGGTCTAAGAAAGATGAGGTGAATCATAGAATTGATGAGGGGAAAAAGGTTAGCGAAGAACTGAGATGTCTGTGGAGACAAAGACTTATCCATGGAAGCAAAGAGGGGACTGCATGGGAGTATAGTTATACCAGTGCTCTTATATGGGTGTGAAGCATGGGTGGTGAATGTTGCAGCAAGAAGACTGGAGGCAGTGGAGATGTCATGTCTGAGGGCAATGTGTGGTGTGAATATAATGCAGAGAATCCATAACTTGGATATTAGAAGGAGGTGTGGGGTTTCTAAAAGTATTATCCAAAGGGCAGAGGAGGGGTTGTTGAGGTAGTTGGACATTTAGAGGATGGAACAAAATAGAATGACTTGGAGGGCATATAGATCTGTAGTGGAGGGAAGGCAGTGTAGAGGTCAGCCTAGGAAAGGTTGGATTATTATTATTATTATTATTATTATTATAAAAAAGAAGCGCTAAGCCACAAGGGGTATACATCGCTGCAGGAAAGGTTGGAGGAAGGGGGTAAAGGAGGTTTTGTGTGCGAGGGGCTTGGACTTCCAGCAAGCATGTGTGACCATGTTAGATAGGAGCAAGTGGAGATGAATGCTTCTTATGACTTGACATGCTGTTGAAGTGACAACAAAATAACATTTATGAAGGGATTCAGGGAAACCGGTTATCCCGGCTTGAGTCCTGGAGGTGGGAAGTACAGTGCCTGCACTCTGAAGGAGGGGTGTTGATGTTGCAGTTTTTTAACTGTAATGTAGGTACATCTCTCGCAAGACAGTGGAGTGGAGGATGATGAAAGTGTTTCTTCTTTTTCGGGTCACCTTGACTTGGTGGGAAACGGCCGATGTATTAATAAAAAATGCTGAAATGGAATGTTATGAACACCTCCATAACACAATACAGATTCTGCAGATGATGAACATGGACAACTGGTATCTTAAGGAAACTTGTCCTAATGTTTCCACCCATACTTGGGATCGAACCACGGACCTCAATGTGTCAGCTGAGTGCGCAAGCAATCAAGCTACAGGAAGGAGTAGTGCAACAAGCCTACTGGCTCAAGTTGGTCAGACCCAACTCACACCCACTCATAAGAAAGAACACTGACACAGCCTACTGGCCCATGCTAGGAATGTCAAAGTCTAACCTATTTATAAAACTATATAACGTCTTGGCTTCAGTGACATTACTCTGGAATTTGTTCCACTCATCCAAAACTTTATTACCAAACCATTGCTTTCCTATAATACTGTTGTGTGTTTTTTTTTCTTGGGGGGGGGGGGAGAATAATCACTTCCCCTACCCTACCCTTTAATCCATGTAAACAGCCTAGTGTCATCACGCCATCAGAATGTTTCACGCTTTAGCTAGGGAAGTAGCTGTGTAGCCGGGTGATTAGCTGTATAGCTGTGGGAGTAGCTGTGTAGCTAGGGGAGTAGCTGTATAGTTGGGGAGTAGCTGGGAAGGAACTGTAGCTGAGGGAGTAGCTGTAGCTGGGGATTAACTGTAGCTGTGGGAGTAGCTGGGGAGCAGCTGTTGCTGGGGGAGTAGCTGTGTAGCTGCCTGGAGTGAGTTCCGGGGGTCAACGCCCCCGCGGCCCGGTCTGTGACCAGGCCTCCTGGTGGATCAAAGCCTGATCAACCAGGCTGTTACTGCTGGCTGCACGCAAACCAACGTACGAGCCACAGCCCAGCTGGTCAGGAACCGACTTCAGGTGCTTGTCCAGTGCCAGCTTGAAGACTGCCAGGGGTCTGTTGGTAATCCCCCTTATGTATGCTGGGATGCAGTTGAACAGTCTCGGGCCCCTGACACTTATTGTATGGTCTCTTAACGTGCTAGTGACACCCCTGCTTTTCATTGGGGGGATGTTGCATCGTCTGCCAAGTCTTTTGCTTTCGTAGTGAGTGATTTTCGTGTGCAAGTTCGGTACTAGTCCCTCTAGGATTTTCCAGGTGTATATAATCATGTATCTCTCCCGCCTGCGTTCCAGCGAATACAGGTTTAGGAACTCAAGCGCTCCCAGTAATTGAGGTGTTTTATCTCTGTTATGCGCGCCGTGAAGGTTCTCTGTACATTTTCTAGGTCAGCAATTTCACCTGCCTTGAAAGGTGCTGTTAGTGTGCAGCAATATTCCAGCCTAGATAGAACAAGTGACCTGAAGAGTGTCATCATGGGCTTGGCCTCCCTAGTTTTGAAGGTTCTCATTATCCATCCTGTCATTTTTCTAGCAGATGCGATTGATACAATGTTATGGTCCTTGAAGGTGAGATCCTCCGACATGATCACTCCCAGGTCTTTGACGTTGGTGTTTCGCTCTATTTTGTGGCCAGAATTTGTTTTGTACTCTGATGAAGATTTAATTTCCTCGTGTTTACCATATCTGAGTAATTTAAATTTCTCATTGTTGAACTTCGTATTGTTTTCTGCAGCCCACTGAAAGATTTGGTTGATGTCCGTCTGGAGCCTTGCAGTGTCTGCAATGGAAGACACTGTCATGCAGATTCGGGTGTCATCTGCAAAGGAAGACATGGTGCTGTGGCTGACATCCTTGTCTATGTCAGATATGAGGATGAGGAACAAGATGGGAGAGAGTACTGTGCCTTGTGGAACAGAGCTTTTCACCGTAGCTGCCTCGGACTTTACTCTGTTGACTACTACTCTCTGTGTTCTGTTAGTGAGGAAATTATAGATCAATCGAGAGTAGTTGTGTAGTTGGGGAATAGATGTGTGGCTGGGGGAGTAGCTTTGTGGTTGGGGAGTAGCTGTGTAGCTGGGGAGTAGCTGGGAAGAAACTGTAGCTGAGTAGCTGTGTAGCTGGGGATTAACTGTAGCTGTGGGAGTAGCTGTGTAACTGGGGATTAACTGTAGCTGTGGGAGTAGCTGTGTAGCTGGGGAATAACTGTGTAGCTGGGGAGTAGCTGTATAGATGGGGAGTAGCTGTGTAGCTGGGGATTAACTGTAGCTGGGGAATAGCTGTGTAGCTGGGGAAGTAGCTGGGGAGTAGCTGTGTAGCTGGGGAGCAGCTGTGTAGCTGGGGAAGTAGCTGTGTAGCTGGAGAGTAGCTGTGTAGCTGGGGGAGTAGCTGGGGAGCAGCTATGTAGCTGGGAGAGTAGCTGTGTAACTGGGGAGTAGCTGTGTAGCTGAGGGAGTAGCTGTGTAGCTGGGGAGCAGCTGTGTAGCTGGGGAGTAGCTGTGTAACTGGGGAGTAGCTGTGTAGCTGGAGAGTAGCTGCCTAGCTGGGGGAGTAGTTGTGTAGCTGGAGTAGCTGGGGAGTAGCTGTGTAGCTGGAGTAGCTGGGGAGTAGCTGTGTAGCTGGGGTAGTAGCTGTGTAGCTGGGGAGTAGCTGTGTAGTTGGGAGTAGCTGTGTAGCTGGGGTAGTAGCTGTGTATCTGGGTGATTAGCTGTGTAGCTGCGGGAGTAGCCGTGTGGCGGGGAAGTTGTGTAGCTGGGAGAGTAGCTATGTAGCTGGGGAGTAGCTCTGTAGCTGGGAGAGTAGCTGTGTAGCTGGGGAGTAGCTATGTAGCTGGGGAGTAGCTATGTAGCTGGAGTAGTAGCTGTGTAGCTGGGAAGTAGCTGTGTAGCAGGGAGAGTAGCTGTGTAGCAGCTATGTAGCTGGGAGAGTAGCTGTGTAGCTGGGGAGTAGCTATGTAGCTGGGGGAGTAGCTGTGTAGCTGGGAGAGTAGCTGTGTAGCTGGGGAGTAGCTATGTAGCTGGGGAGTAGCTATGTAGCTGGAGTAGTAGCTGTGTAGCTGGGGAGTAGCGATGTAGCTGGGAGAGAAGCTGTGTAGCTGGGGAGTAGCTGTGTGGCTGGGAAGTAGCTGTGTAGCAGCTGTGTGGCTGGGAGAGTAGCTGTGTAGCTGGGGAGTAGCTATGTAGCTGGGAGAGTAGCTGGGGGAGTAGCTGTGTAGCTGGGGGAGTAGCTGTGTAGCTGGGGATTAGCTCTGTGGCTGGGAAGTAGCTGTGTAGCTGGGGTAGTAGCAGTGTAGCTGGGGAAAAGCTGTGTAGCTGGGAAGTAGCTGTGTAGCTGGGGGAGTAGCTATGTAGCTGGGGAAAAGCTGTGTAGACGGGGGAGTAGCTATGTAGCCGGGGGAGTAGCTATGTAGCTGGGGGTGTACCTGGGAAGTAGCTGTGTAGCTGGGGGAGTAGCTATGTAGCCGGGAGAGTAGCTGTGTAGCTGGGGGAGTAGCTGTGTAGCTGGGGAGTATCTATGTAGCCGGGAGAGTAGCTGTGTAGCTGGGGGAGTAGCTGTGTAGCTGGGAAGTTGCTGTGTAGCTGGGGGAGCAGTTATGTAGCTGGGGAGTAGCTGTGTAGATGGGGGAGTAGCTATGTAGCTGGGGAGTAGCTGTGTAGCT